ACCTACAGTAAATATCCGGTGTAAAGTCTTGCTGTATCTTTATCCTATCACCTGCCACTTTACTTGTTAGGTTGTAAACTTTTTCTACATGACTCATTTTTCTTTTTAAGTTACAGTTTATTGTGTGTTTTTTTTTGTTGTTGTTGTCATTTTTCCTCAAAGATTTAAGTTCTCTAAACTATAAAGCTGTGAAAAGTTCTTGCCTCTTACAGCCTTTTTATTCTTTTTGTGTCAATTTTTTTATTATTATCAAGTAAATAAAAAAAAACCTTCTAAGCTCGAAGAAATTAATAAATTTTACTCAAGTAAGACTAGCGATACTTAATGATAAGAATCGTCTCATGTTCCTGCCTATAATGGCAGCAATACTCTCCTGTATTTCTGTAAGATGTCTGACCGCCATGTTGCTAAAATCCGTCTCTGTGTAATTTCTCCTTTCCACCAGCAGAGGGCAGCGTCGTGCTTCACGTGTCCAGCGCAGCTCTGCTACTTCAGCACTGATTTTTCTAAAATCTTATAAAACAGAACCAAACCTTGGTTCAGTGGGTCGACTGTCTAAAATTATTCAACACCACAAATAAATCAAAATCCTTTCCGCAATTAACCTTTTTACAGTGAGTATTTAAATAACCGCTCCATTGAATATCAATGCATGTGCTGGAAGTATTTGCACTCTGCAGACTGAAGTTATTAGATATCTCTGCAGGGCGGCTCGGTGCTCATTTGAATTTCTCCTGCTTGTGAATCTCTTGGGACGGACTGGATGGCTTCCAACTGAAATTAGGACAGACTCTCAGGTTATTACTGACCGATTACATCCTGTTAATCACACCTTTAAAATACTGAAATTAAAGATTCAGAGGACTAAATGGCTTTGTTGAAGCTCAGATAGCGTTAATACTTTCTGCTCTGTAGGAATCAAGGTTGGTCTAAATACATGAGTGATGCAAAACATGTTCACTACATTTTTTTAACATTGTCTGACATCATCTGAGTTTTGATCAGTATTGTGCAAAATTGACTTTTTTGAGTTTTATATCATGTTATAATGTTAATCCCTCATCAGAAATGCATCTGAAGTTTTGCCTGACTCCATGCATGTTTGTGAAATCCTGTAATCTCCATGGCAATCATTCAAACGCCTGGGTGGACCTAGCCCCGCCTTCAAGCTGCAGCTCCTCCCCAGAGCTACAGTGTCCAAGCTTCAGGGCCCTGGAGGCAGAGTTTCTGGAAAAGCAGTGGTTTTAAAGAGACAAAGGCCCATTTTTAATGCATTAAATCAAGAAGTCAAGTTCCTTTTAAGTCATATTTGATAAATGAAGCATTTTTATAACAACTGAAGACAACATAGTTACCTGATTGTTATAAAATGGCACCATTTGCCTGGGAAATACATAATACCACCCCTTCAAAGCATCTGTATTTTACAAAACTCACATTTTGCACGTTTACGTACTTCAATGTTGGTCTCTGCTTCTAAAAACAATGCAAATGCTTAAAAAAAATAACACCCAGCCTTTATTTGGCAGCAGTTTAATGTTTCTGGTGTCTGGAAAATGAGCCGTTTAAAAAAAACCAGATTGTCGAGTCACATACAAATATGCATGTGAGTCAACATTTGGTCAGCTGGATTTACCGCTGTACAACGGCTGCTGGAAAACACAAATGTTTTGTGGTCGACCTCCAATCCAGCATTCTTGTTGGTTGTGCAGGAGGTTCTACTCCTGCTTTTCAAAGATGAGCTGTTGCATAATTGTGCATCTGTTAGCAGATGTTTTCAGTAGGAATATAAATATTGAGCAGCTTATTTGGATTGGAAGCTTTAAAGCAGCTCATTCTGGAAGCAGCTCAAGACTAAAATCTCATTATCTGAGAATGATTTTGTGCACAAAACGTAATGAACATTGAACTAACCTGTTCAGGGAAACAGGTCATTGGTTAATAGCGGTAGAGTTTACTCATGTAACACATATTCATATAGAGAAACCCCCGTGTTACTTCCTGCATTCACACACTGATCGTGTGATAGTTTGTATTGTGTGAATGGCAGCACAACGGCCACTGACTATTTACAGAAAGTTGAGAAAAGAACATTTGATCAAGTACAATTCCCCTTCCAACATCTTCAAAAGGTTGAAATCAGAAAAGCTCTTTGTTTGGCTAGTTGTTAATGGATTTACTCAAGCATCTGGAAAATGCTTCACTTTTTACACATTTAAAACATTGTTTTAAATTGAGTTAAATTAATTTCTTGTATAATTCTATACACTATGACAATGTGGGAACATTTTTTGAGTGTAGAAAATGTTCCATTCTCTGCCTAACACTTTGTTGATCCAACTTTAGCAGCAATTCCAGCCTGAAGTCTGAATATTTCACCCATTTTAAGACGTTTCTTCTCTCTGGATATTAAGGCCATTGTGGATGAAAAACAGAGTAAATTTCTGAATAAATTTTTAGTTTAATCACAGATCTACAGAACATAAGGAATTTTCTAACTTCCATCTTTTGAAACTCAGAAACTTTCCAAAAGTCAAACATTTTCAGACTTCTGCAACCTTTGCAACTGGCAGCCATCTTGGTAGGTATCCGAAACTAAGGAGTTACTATGACCACAAGAGAACTATCTCTTGCCTCGTTCCTAACAAACTTTTAAATAATTGAAATGCATCATAACCGTTACTTTTATTCTTTTATTCTTTTTGTTTTATAAAAATTCTCAACAGGTGGAATTTTCTGCCTTTGCTGCTGGTTCATATCTTCATTTCCACCTGAGCAAAGTAATTATTTCAAACTGTGATGTTTGCAGTTTGTATGCAAAAGGCCACAAATTATTTTAATCACGGTTCATTTAAGTCATAAATAAAGATTTTGAACAACTGTAATAAATAAATTTCCAATAGAAATGTAATTCCACATTCATAATATTGCACCTGCTGTTAGAGGGAAATATAAATTCTCTAAAAGAAGTGTCAAGTCTTCTTGTACTTTATGATGAAGTGTTATAATACGTGTCATTTCCTCTGCACCCCTATTCTGGTAATACCTAAGAAATCTATCACTGACTTTCAGAGAACAAACGACATCATGAAGACCAAGAAACACAACATGGAGAAACTTTAAATCAGACATTAATCCTTCAAATCTGAGTTCAGTCTGACAGAGATTCAAGAATCCTGGAAAAAATGACCAAAATATTCAGTTTTAAAACTATAAACCATTTTACTGAATCCATCCATCCATCCATCCATCCATCCATCCATCCATCCATCCATCATCCATCCATCCATCCATCCATCCATCCATCCATCCATCCATCCATCCATCCATCCATCCATCCATCCATCCATCCATCCATCCATCCAGTCTCTTATTGTTTCTGCATATCAAATAAATATCAACCCGTCTAATAATAATAATAATAATAATAATAATAATAATAATAATAATAATAATAATAATAATAATAATAATAATAATTGGCAACACTGGCACATAATTCCTGCTTCTTTTTTCCTGCTTCTTTTAATAATAATAATAATAATATCAACCCGTCTAATAATAATCTAATAATAATAATAATAAATAATAATAATAATAATAATATTATATAACAATATAATAATATTATTATTATTATTATTATTATTATTATTATTATTCTAGTGCCGTTGGTCAAAACAGTCACAGACCTGCTGTCTCCTGTCTTTGTCGGCTGCATGTTGTTTTGTCATTTAAAGGCACATGTAGTTTTATTTGTATTTATTTTTGCACATTTTCAGCAACAAGGCAATAAAAGTGCTTTACAGGAATCAAAAGGAAATATGAACAAAATAGCAAACAAAAGAAAAGAACAAACAAAAAAAAAGAATCTAATGTTGATCTAAAGTAAATAAACTATTGAGTTCTATTCACGGTTGGTAGATAAGAATAAGTAAGTGTCCTCTGGGTTACTAGATCAGTGTAATTATCCTCTAAGTCTGCTCTAAATTCATAAAAGTAATGAGTACTGCACAGTTTCTAAGTAATAATAAAAACTGAATGTTCCTGTTCTGTTTAAATCTTATTTTTTTCTGGATTCTAAGTTTGTTCTAATTCCTTTTCTGGGTTGCAATAATAGGAGTCTCTGCATAATGATCTAAAAATTGATCTAATATTGGTCTAAATAGTGAAGACAGGGAAAAGCATTGGGCTCTGGCATTGAGTGTGAACAGACAACCATATTTTCTTACATGCTGTTAGTTTTTAACACCATTTTTAGTCGAGTCTTCTGGTGTCTTGTCTCAGATGTCTGAGTCGACTCTTTCACCCAATTGGTTTTGATAATTCCTTAATATTGATATTAAAGCGCCAGTTCCATTGGCACATTATTTTATTCATAACAAGACATTTTTCTCATAAGTTAAATAATCTGCCAATAGAACCAGTACTTTTTCATTAATACTCAGGAATTATTCACTTTAAACAAACTCCTATATTTTACTGAAATGTTACCAGTAAGTTAGTTTTGTCTCATTTTGAGTGGAATAAAATATTTGCAATAGAAACTAGACTTTTTGCAGTGCAACTATGTTAATTTGTTCTATAAAAGACAATAGCATATTTACAATATATATAAAAGAAAAACTGTGTAACAGAGATGTTTAAATCTTATTTGAATTGAGTAAAACTGTTTGTGGCCGGATAGGAAGGATCTGAGTTAATGCCCCTTTGTGTACCGAAGATACATTTTAAATATTTGTCTATTAAATGAATTCTTCAACTTGGAAATGAAGATAGTGACTAATAATAAAAAAACACCCTCGTTTCCTGTCACAGCAGTGACAGAAAGGAACAAAGAAGACCACCATCCTAACACCTCCACCCCTATAAACAGGGAGGAGGAGGTGTTATCTTGGCGGCTGGCAGTGACTATTTGCATGCACATCCACCTCCTTCTCCTCCATCAGACATAAATACTGCGGTCCAACTTTGCTCCAGAGGTTTCAGCCGACAGGCAGACAATGGAGAACCGCTCACTCCTCCTGCTGTGCATCGCTGTGGCTTGTTCAAGTACGCACTTTCCTTCAAAATTCGCATTAACTCAGGTTTGCATTAATAAAACTGTTTAACCTTTTCACAGTCTGGATGGTCCAGGGAAGAAGCCTGAAGGTCAGGATCGATGATGATGATGATGAGCTGGGAGAACCTGATGTAGACGTACAACGGGTAAGGATTTCAAAATATTTGGTTAAAATGATTCTGGTAGCTATTTATCCCAATTTACATTGTATCTATAATAAACAATTTTTAGAAATATATGCAACTGAAACACGCAATTGTTGTTAAACCAGGAAAAAAAAGCCAATAATAAGATGAATAGCTTTAGTTTCTGGCTAAAAACAGCACAGAAAGCTACTAAAATATGTAAACAAAAAAAAAAAAAATTTCTCACTTTTATTCACTTTTCAATAATTATTAACCTTCGTTTAACATATTCGCTGCAAAATATGTTGACATTTTTTATTATCAGGTAACATATTATGACTTAATGCGATAACATTTTTAGTCGAGTCTTTATATTATTTAAAAGTTATATCATCATATGAACTAAAATGTTGATTTAAGTGGATCTTTTAGAATTTTAAGAACCTAATTGAAAATAATTTTACAAGAATAATAAAATAATAAAATCAGAAATAAAATCGATTTCAAGATGAAGCTTTAGCTGAAACTGCAGATCTAAAGTGTTTCTGGTGAATTTTGATTCAAACAAACTTATTATTCATTCGGTGAAGCTACACATGGGTAGAGTTCCCAGATATTTTCCTCTAATTAAAGTAACTTTTCCAACAAGTTACTCAAGTAAATGTGAGTTAATGTGACTGGTTTCTACCCGACGTCGTTTAGTTATACATTTAAATTGGTTTAAAGTGGATTTAAATAAAAAGTTGGATTAATTCTGCATGAGGTGAAATCAATTCAGTTTTATTTTTCCAACTCTTGTTTTTAGCTTCCAGGGATGTGCTGGGGATGCAAATGGGCTTTGAACAAGTTGAAAAAACAACTTGGATCAAATTCCACCGTGGAGGTAAAAGTTCAAAATGGCTGCATGCAGCAAAAAATCCCATCAGACACGTGGAGAGAAAAAAAACTCATTTATTTGTGTTTTTCCAGGCCATTAAAGCAAAACTGAGATCCGTCTGCGATGGGATTGGAATACTGAAATCACAGTGCCGTAAATTTATGAACGCACACCTTGGAGTCCTGATTGAGGAGCTGACCACGACTGATGACGTCAGAACGATTTGCGTCAACGTTGGAGCGTGCAAGTGAGTCAGCGCAGATCAGCTTTACAGTTTTTCACTGCAACACTTTAATTTGGTTTGTTTTTTCTCTTCAGGCCAAAGGATCTGGAAATGATCTTCTATCCAAACAAACAGGAATTGCGACGCATCGAGATCAGTGAGGTCAACTGACAGCCAGACACATAAATGGAGCTTCATGCAACTGAAAGCATTCAAACGGCAAATAATGAGCTTTTCTTGGCTTCCTTTAACTAAAGCATATCTTCAGCTAAAACTTTTTTTCTGAAACAAATAAAGTTGACAAATTGCTTTATTTTGACATTGTTGTGTCAGTTTTTTTCTAATCGGCCCTTGTTTATTTTTTTGCATGTTTTCGCATTTTTGCAAGGCAAAATCTTTAAGAAAACAGACAGAAAACTCACATCCCCCCCTGCAGAAAGAAACAAAGCAACTGACTGGAGATCAAATCAATTTAAATATTAGTCAAATACAATAAAACTGAGATATTATGGGAGAAAAAATTAAGAACCTCAATGGCCTTGTGGGAAAAGTAATACGGCATCCATAAATCTTAGATAAGGTCAAAGGTCATGCCTCCACTATAAGAAAGGGATGTGAATAACTAACTGAGTTACAATTAATTGTCCGTAAATGGTTTATTAACTTAAAATTAGTTCCAATTAGTTGGAGCTTTTTTAGTGTTGTAATTTAGCCGCCATCCACTGGGGGCGCTGCTGGTCATACTGAAGCGGAGCCGTTGGTAAAAGAACAAAGATGGCGGACGGCTAAATCATTGAGGGTGCTACAATATATTTTCAAAATTCATTGTTCTCTGATAAATTTACCTCTGAGTTTAGGAAATCGCTGTCGATCTAATAGAAAACAGATGGCTAAGGTTTAGAAAACAGCTGCTTATTAATCAATAATGTAGACAACTCAATCAATCAATCAATCAATACACTGGGATAGAGGCTTGAACGAAGTAATAAAATTAGTCCTATTTCATAAAAAACAGATATTACATACATACAATAATAATACAAAAATACAGACCCATAAATACTGATGGAATTAAAAATGCAGACAATTGGAAATAAAGGGATTTTTATTGGTTTTTCATTTAAGTTTCCATTATTTAGTGTAAAAGGAACAAGCAAAATGATACTTCTAAACACAAGTATTTACATTCAACACCACAGCTGGCTCTCGGCCTCATGATGACGCTGCTGAAGAAAGCAGAAACCGGGCGTTTCGGTTCACACAGCCTCCATCTTGGAGTCCAAACCGGGCGTTTCGGTTCACACAGCCTCCATCTTGGAGTCCAAACCGGGCGTTTCGGTTCACACAGCCTCCATCTTGGAGTCCAAACCGGGCGTTTCGGTTCACACAGCCTCCATCTTGGAGTCCCCAGCTGTGCCTCAGTGCGTCTCTGTCCAGCTTGTTTAATCCTTGGGAGCAAAGCCGGAGATCCTGCACCAGTTCGGACAAACCGTCCAGCTCTTCGCTGCTCCAAGGACCAGAAACCTGACAGCCTGATGAAGAGGACCCAAATGTTACACCACAAAAATATCAATTTAACACCTAAAATGTTAATAAATGTAGAAGAACGGAGTCTTTCAAATCACTTTTCAAACTTTCCCATATTTTAGAGGTAAAACAATTCAAATAATATGGAAAATAAAGTTTAAATTCACTATTTCATAAACCTACTAATCAATTATTCTGACGATGAATTTGATATTTACTAATGTGTGTAAAGAGAACTACAGGCTAATGTCCACCTTGCAAGTTGAGAAGGGTCAGAGGTCGAGAAGCCTCTCTGACGGACGTCAGGATGCTGCGGAGGCCCGACCAGGAAACGGACGGGTTTCCTGACAGGTCCAGACTGGTCAGGCTTGGACACGAAGGCAGACACCTGACGGAAAACAGAAACTGAGCTGATGATGTCACAGTTTTATAGAAATCAAAAGAAAACGCAGAATTAGCTGATATCTGCGATCAGAAAAGAATAAACAGGAGTCTGTCGTCTTTTGGCCTCTGCAGCTCCCATACTTGCTGTCAGGAAGCTAGTTAGCTGCAGCTAGCCACGTCTGCTAACTTCATAAGGTTTACATAAATCAGCAGAATCGAGAGTTAAAGATGGATCAGAGTTCAGTTTCTATGGCGATACCGATTTATCGTCCACATGGGGGACCTTCATCCATTCACACACCTGGCCAAGATGGCGACACTGCCGTCCGTCAGTCCATTTCCTGCCAGACTCAGGTGGATCAAAGGACACTCGCCCTGTACAAACATACTGGTTTTACTGGTTTCATCGTAGAGAAACGTCCATAACGTCCCAACCTGGGCGTGTTCGTACCTGGGACAGGAGTTTGGCCAGGTGTTCCAGCGCCGGCTGATCGGCTGGACCCCTGCAGACGGCGGCCAGGTCCAGGTGAGTGAGCGTCTGCAGGGGCAGAGTCTTCAGCACCAGCTCAAAGCCAGTGGAGCCCAGTGCATTGTGGGACAGAGACACTGATTTCAGGTGGCCCAGTCCTGAGGCATGAAGGGATTTTAGTTAAACAGCCATTTTAATACATTTTCCCTTCACTTTCTTCCCAAATAAAATGAAACAGTTATTTTATTACAGCTTTAATAATCATGACTGTTGCATTAGCCGTTTGCTAATACTTCACTGTAGAGTTGACCTGAATTCAAATAGAAGAAGGCCGACCTGGGCATGATGACATCACTGAACTACGGAAACCCAATGAGTGCAAAAATCCACATTTTCCAAAAATGATCACAAAAAAACAAAAATTCACCAAATTCAATAAAAGTTGATTTTACAGTAATTTGGCCTTTTAAAGTGAATGTTCATGTTATAAAGAAGACAAAGCAGCTGATTTACAGCTTTATGTCGGCAGAATGGCCTGAAAGGTCGACTTTTAGGCACTGCAGTGTCTCTTCGCGGTGCGGGTCTGTCATCCTACCCGTCAGCGCGGCGGCCAGCAGCAGGCGGTGCTGCTGGAGGAAGCGGGCCGTGAGCCGACAGGCCTGCAGACACAACCTGGACAGCAGAGGACAGCTGGACAGCAGGCAGGACAGAGACTCGGACACAGCGTCTCCGAGCGGGTTGAGGCTCAGATCAAGCTCCTCCAGGTACTGCAGAGCCAAAACAGATTGACAGATATAAGCCTTGATCTAAGTCAATAATTCCTCAAAATTCCCGTACATTAACAGAACCAGAACTTTTTCTGCCATTTTAAGGAGTTATTAGTTAAAACAAGCTCCTATATCTTACTGAAATGTTATTTATAATTTAGTTTTGCTTTAAGTGCAGTGATATTTGCAGCAGAAACAACACTTGGTAAGATTTGAAGGGTACTTGCTGCTTCACTCTCATCGTTGTGGTGATAATGTGAGAGGAACAGTGTGAACACATGAAGTGGTTTACCGCGTATGCAGGGCGACTCTGTCCCCTCAGCGCCTCCACGGCCTTCTCCAGGCCCTCCCCCGTGATGCCGTTGGCCGAAACGTCCAGCAGCCGGAGGCGGGGCATGGTGATTGTGGTGGCGACCAGCTCCGGAAGGAGGTTGTTGTGGAGACGGTTCCCAGAGAGGCGGAGCTCGGTGAGGCTGACCTGGAGCTTGAGGGCGCGCAGCAGGGGGTTGAGGGAGGCGGGGGCCAAACCGAGGCCGCACAGCGACACGGACTGGCCGCCGTCCTGGACCTCGCACAGCCGGGAGACGCGTCTGTCCTCGTCTGGAGGCGGAGAAACGTTTGGTTACAGCAAATAAAGAAAATAAGAATCAGAAAACTCGTAGTTGCGTTACGGTGTGTGTCGCTCACCCACTGCCAGACTCTGACAAGCCTTCCTATAGCGATCAGGAAGAGGAGGGAGATCCCAGGAGCAAACTTCAGCCAAAACCTGCATCAATCAAATTGACACGACTGAAGATAAATGCATGGATGCATTTCTCTAGATCCCGCTGAGACATTAGTCCTCTAATTCTGGAAGGCTGACTTTGTGACTGTCTTTATGTGGCTCTGAAGGTTCAGGTCAGTCTAGTTCAGGCCTGATCTCTGGTTTCTAGTTGTAATAACTGAAGCTGTGCATTGACTCTAGATAATTCCTCTTTTATAACTTCAATTTTGTTTCTGTTCAGCTGGAGAAAGGATTATGGATGCAAGTTATCGATTAATCAGTTTATCGAAAGTGGATTGATTAACGTCCTTTATTTATCCCTCACCTCCTCGTTGGTGTGCAGCACAGCCAGCAGCAGGTCCTGTGGAGAGAGCAGCGCTCCTTCCTTCTGCAGCGAGAGGCGTGGCAGGAGGCCACATTTCTGGTAGTAGCGCTGAGCTGCCTGCTCACAAAGCCACGACACGGTGCAGGAGTCCGCCTCGCTGCAAAAACCCCAGCATGATGGTTTTAACTGGAAAACCCCCCAGAACCCTCCAGATCTGAAATCAGGGCTTCTGCAACACAAACCTCTGTGGAACTGGGATGAGAAAGACATCTTCTTGCACTTTGACCCTCATCCTGATTGGTGGAGGCAGTGATGCTGGTATGGGAGCAGCAAGAACTGGAGGCTAAAATATACAAGCACACCAGGAAGAGACTCAAATTCACCTTCAAATGTGACATCTTTATACCAGTTTTTTGGGGGGAGAAAAGCAACAATTGGCTGGACGCCTCACAGTAAAGAACATTTACTTTGCGTCAGGGCTGTACAAATAAACAGCATTTAGTTGAAGTTAGTACCTGGCGTCTCACCTGAAAGTGGCCCAGTGGAAGAGCTCCAGGCCTCACGTCTTCGTCGTCTGTAACGGAGGGGCTGTCTGACCTGCTGACCTCCCGTGTGCCCAGCCTCACCATCCCTGGCATCTGCGTCATCTTGACCTGGTGAGGCTTCAGCGAGCCGTTCTTCCGCTGAGAGAGCCCCCTGCTGGACGAGCTGGACACAGCGCCTGGAGGAAGAGAGCCTGACAGCGATCTAACAATTAAAACATTTATTACTAAAATGTAATTTTAATTTTGCTTTAATTTTAATTTAATTTTTTTTTTGCTCTTTAGTTTCACTTTCTTATTTAAAAAGTAATTAAATTGTTTATTTGCATGTTATTAATGTAATTCTAATGTCATATAAACAAGACTTAAATGAAAAGTGCAGAAGGTACCAGTTTTTAACAAGACGTATCCATTAATCGTCAGAATAGTCGATTAATCAATAACTAAAATAATTGTTAGCTGCAGCCGTTGAGCCGTAGGAA